GATATTTCATGCAGGTTAAACCATTCATTGATGATGCAGAGATTGATTGATTTGAAGGGATATTTCATGCAGGTTAAACCATTCATTGATGATGCAGAGATTGATTGATTTGAAGGGATATTTCATGCAGGTTAAACCATTCATTGATGATGCAGAGATTGATTGATTTGAAGGGATATTTCATGCAGGTTAAACCAATCATTGTTGATGCAGATGCTCACCTATGTGCAGCATAATAAGATTTCCCCAGGTCTGTTTTTAAAACTATGAAATCACTGTTTAAGGACAATCAATAGCCATAGTTAGCTGCAATAACTGTTTACAGTATGTTAATTTTAGATGTTAGGAGATTAAAATTTATTGAAAAATAGATCATTCTGGTTTGATTATGGTGCTATATATATTATAAATATAATGAAATTATTATAAATATATATACATTATAAATACAGAAGCCCATTTATTTTTTATTCTATTTTATTTTGTTTAATTTTGYTTATAATTTTTTGGATTGTGAATGGATATTTCAAGGTCAACTGCATTTGATGCTGGCGGACCATGGYCCATTAATTACAATGTAGTATTACTGTCCATTACTACACCTATAATATTGTTAATTGATAGTAAAATTAACTCTTTTACTTACTCATCCTTTCCTTGTTTAAAGTCTTTGTTGCTCATGATAGTAGTACCAGAGGAATCAGTGGCTGACTCTGCTGTAACAGTCATCTTACCAAGGGCTTTGTCCAGTACATTAGTTATCCTTACCTACACAACCACACATAAACWCAGAGCATGTTTTCAACACATATGAATGATAAGCCATTAACAACACAATTAGACTCCAAGAAAACCAACAACTGTAACTGTAACTACTGTATCCCATCAAATATGAGCAATAACAATGCATGGACAAGAACACCTACTTCTTCTAAGCCAGAAACATTGATGTTTTATCAACGATGTATTTTCTGGGCAAAAGTAGGAGTCAGTTCGTTGATCACAATTATATTTGAGATTACAYATTTCTTTTCTAAAAGATGCTTTGACAGGCTAAGCATTAGCTTCACCTGACATTGTGTTTACTTGCTTAATTTCTATTATAATTATTTTCATTTTATTATTATTTTTTTGCATTTTATTCCATGCTTTAGGTTTTTGTACATTTTTGTACACTTTTGACTGTACAATAACTCTGATAAACACCATTTTTTATAATCATTGTTATAGGTTTTGCACTGATTCAACCCAAGCATTCATCAAATACAATAAAAATAACACTACCTTGAAGAATTTGCTGTCAGTTGARATGAGAGGAGATCCATAAAGCTGCACAACAACAGGTACATGGAACTAAAAGCAACAAGAAAAGATTATTAGTCAAAATAATCATCATTAACCAAATGATACAACTAACTTGCAGAAATTTGAGTTCAAAGAATAACAACAAGATAACAACAACGAGGAGTGATATAGTACAGCTGTGTCATTCTTTACAGTTCTCAAATGTTAACTGCTTCATACATAGTCTTGGAATGGGGTGGAGTTTAAAGGCAATACCAGAATAATTATCACCACTATCCCAAGTTACTCACATCATTGTTGGAAAGAACATTAAGAGCCCTAAGCAGAAAAAATGATTCCTTCACTGACTGAACATGCTTTCTGGTCAAAAGGTAGTTAGCAAATTTGATTGCTTGGTCCTATAATAAAAAAGATAAGCAAATGAATCAATAAAAACAAATAATAAATGATAAATTGGTACATAAATAGACCTGGATGCTTAACGGCAAATTAAGAAACCTGAATGTACTATAAATTAAATTGGTTTTGAATATCATTCAGTTTTTTGCAACAATTTGTTACTATACAAACAAAAAACACACACACAAAAAAAAAAAACAACTGCTGCACTCAATCTTTACTTCCTGACCAAGGTCAGGATTTTCAATCCAGATTGTATACTCATTTAACAAGAACTAAATAAAAAAAACAACTGCTGCACTCAATCTTTACTTCCTGACCAAGGTCAGGATTTTCAATCCAGATTGTATACTCATTTAACAAGAACTAAATAAAAAAAACAACTGCTGCACTCAATCTTTACTTCCTGACCAAGGTCAGGATTTTCAATCCAGATTGTATACTCATTTAACAAGAACTAAATAAAAAAATCATAATTATAATTTATATTAATCAAATGAATATTGCAAGTGCAAACCTCAGTAATAGATGGCTTCTTCTTCAAGTACTCCCCAAGTTTATATGAGGCTGTCACAACTTCAGCAGTTGGAATCAAACCACCTTCAAACTGAAACAGTGATAGTTACGATAACAGTTTAGCCWGTATGTCACTTGTAGCAGATATTTTATCACACATACTCAGAAATGAAAGAGGACTGTGTTAAAATTACCTGTAAGTAAGTATTTTCTGTTTCATCAGCCTGAGCAACAACATCTTCAATCATGTCCACAATGAAAGTCAAGTCAGATTCTCTTGGTAGCAGAATAGCAGTGTTGAGGGCATACACAGCACTAAACAACAACAAAACATTGATAACATAATGATGATAACAAAATAGTACTACTAATACATGTATATTCATGTTTATCACAGCTATATTCTTTTATTTCTCTTGTCAATTTAGTGAGAGTAATGCAATAGTTATACACACTATTTAAGATTGAATTGGGAAATATCAATATTTGACATGTTTGTTTTATTCAAAACATTTCACTAAATTTTGACTGTTTTTGAAATACTAAAAAGGTAAAAAGAGAAATCCTTTGAATGCTTACTAATACACAACAAAATCATAGCCTACGCTGCATCCAGTTTGGAAAATAAAACCAGATGTAATGCAGGCTACAAAATCATGCATTGCCTATGATCTGATTGGCTAACATAACTTTTGTCAATTTGACACCCAATCAATAACTACATTGCATTATTCAGCTTTTTCAACTGAATTACTACAGTACCTTTCACAGCAGAATCAAATATTTTTTTTGTACAGAGCATAGTATTCGTATGAGTTATAAAAGTTATATATTTACTTCATAATGCTGTCCTCTTCAGAACTTGATGCTGCACGAATGGCCTTGAGAACACTGCTAGTTTCAACTGCAAAGACAAACATCAGCAATAAGAAGATACAGAAAAAGGAAAAATCTTGAAAGCTCTATTTAATTTACCTTTCTTCCCAAGGTTCACAAGAGCTGATACAGCATAGAATACGGTTGATGTTGATGTTCCTTCTTTAAGAACTCCATTTAACTTACTATCAACATCTTTTAGTGTAAGCTATATGCAAGATAAAAAAAAAAACAAAGCTGGTGAGGAAAGGTTTATCTTGCCTTATACTGATAGCAATAATCAAGAAAGAAATTGAGAATGCAATAACGTTTTTGCTATAGAATGAAGAATGCATTAGAATATTGTCCGAGTGTTTAAAATCTATTCCATATTAGACGTATGCAATATCACTTGTGGTATAATTTCACCCGTCAAGGTTCTGCTATCTCGATTTTGGGATACCATGATGCCAGAAACGAGACAGCAAATTCCAGTCTTGTTTCTGGCATCGCRGTATCTTAGTGATAATAGCRAACCGTATACTTACAGGGCAATTTCCAAGTACTTTGCTAATAGATGATGCGTGGTAGATTGAAGACACACTGTTGGAATCTACTTTGTCTTTGACAAACTTACAAACATTTTGTTCACTTGATATAGGTGATTTAAAAAACTTTAATCCTTTAATGGCATAATGTGCTGTTTCTAAGTCTCTGAATGGTGAAGCATCTTGGAACGTCTTTCTAAGTCTTGCTTGCTCTTCAAAGCTAAGGACTGAGGTGGTAGATAAGCTCTGGCTTAGGCCAAGAAAGGCCAACAGCAACACCAGACAGACGCCTGTCAAACAATTATGATAACAGATCAAAAATTGGAAAAAAAAATTAATAAAGAAAAAAGGGACTTCTGGCAACACGAAAACCAAATTGAAAGAATAAATACGTATATAAAATTATAATCAATATTGTAGTCATTTTTTCTTCCATCTGTTTATCCTCCATCTGTTTATCCAGATATCCGTTTATCTAGTCTACACTCTACTCCTTGCCTCTATTGAAAAACAGTTCCAGGACAAGACCATACTGAGTTCAATACTTTTCAGTGTTTAAATTGAACAATGTAACAGGAGAATTTCGCCACCCCTTACTTAAATTTTGATGAACACTTTCTAAAATTTTATTCATCCAAGAACCTCTTGTTCTGTTTTAAAAATGACCTCTTGTTGAAAGATGCTTTCTGATTGGTTCAAACCCAAATATTTTTTGCTTGTGAGAAATCATGCAAAGGTTACTATCATAGTAATCCATAATGCAGTTTCCAAGGGCAACCATCACAGCAAAATGCCTGAGATTTAAACTGCTGCATAGTCTTATTATTCAAAAACAATTTTTTGGGAAAAAAACAAGAGCTTTATGCATTGATAGTACCCATCTGTGGTGGTTACTATTGAGTCACAGTTTCGACTCTTGACCAATAAGAGTGGAGGAAAATTATTGTTAAAAATAAATAAATTAAACAACGAAAGAATTTACATAAAAAGTTGTATTCAATTGTGCAACGAGAATATCATGATAATCAATGGGATATCATGAGGAAAAAAAACAAAAACCATTTCATTATCATCTACTTCTAGTCAAGCACTTCTCATGGTAACCAGAAGACTTGGTGGAGAGAGATGGTTACTGTAGCACACATCTTKACATCACCAGTACAGCTGAGATGATTAGTCTCTTTACTGGTAAACAAACAAGATTTGTGCTGTATTCTATAGGCAGAATCAATTCTTTTTCTTTAGTTCCAAAGAATTACCATAAGAGGGCTCTTAAATCTTAACAATAGATACAACTACCAATGTACTAACTTTTATGATAAGATTAAAATAATAAGTAATTCAGTTTTAAGTTTATATACTTCACCACTTTTTGTCACAGAACCAAAAATACAGCTTACAAATAACAATACTATTCTTATTGTATTTGGAAACCAAGTTCTTCGGATCAAGTCATATGAATGAAACAGCGTAGCCAAAACAAGACAAAGAAATTAAACAACTTGCTTTGCAGGTCAAATTAACGAAAATTCGTCAGATTGCCAAAAAGGCTAACAGTATTACAAAATAAATCTTGACATTTTTCAACTAACTTATAACGTTATAGAATGAAGAACATTCTTTTGGAGATTTAGCTGCAAAACGCCGGTGAACTTAAGATTTGTTAATTCGAATTTTTATGGAGTTCTCTTCGATACACGTGTGCACACACGAGACGCTGGCCAGCATCGACCGTAAAAAGCTTTTTACAACAATCTACACACATAAAGGTTTCCTCTGAGGCTAGGATAACGTGTGATACAAGAATTACTTCGTAAAAAATGATAGTTTTTGATGAACTTACCGCGTGCAGCCATGTTGAAGGGGAGACGTGTCGGGAGAGAAAGGACAAAGAATTAGTCACGTGATAGGAAGAACCTATGAAGCCGCGCCAGGTCTACTCTGACTTCTACACAGGAAGCCCACAGAAAACAATGTGAATGAAATAAAGTGCAAACACAGAAAAATAAAACATGGAAGCTTAAAATAAATAGAGTTGTTAAAATGAAAAAWAAATAAATAAAATGGGAATTAAAAAATAATGTGGAATTGAACTTCCTTGAAAACTTTAAAAGAAAAATAGATGAAAAAAATCTCATCAGGAAACACTATATTTGTATTAGCATGTAATATTATCAATGATTGCACAAACTGGCCAACAAGGATCTAATAAATATGTTTCAAATGGAGATGCCATAAACCCTTCAGCAAAAACAAAAGCTTCAGGGCCCAGGGGGGGACTCCCTAATATCAAAGGGCGGGGGTCCTCGGCGGAGATTGTGAAAATGACCCCTAAAAGGGACCTCTATTGTGAGATGATGGGCGTGGCAGTGCTGAAATTTCAACCCTAAAAGGGACCAATCAATAACAGGTCATTTTGTTTTGGTTTACCGATTTTATTTGTGTTTTTACATAATCATCGAACACCGTCGGCTCGTATTGAGGTTATGGCGACGTTGCCATTTTATGACTGCTTATGGTCGCCGTATACCCTAAAAGGGACCACAAAACACAGTTGGTAGGAATTCTTGTCATGATCACCCTAAGCGTGACCAAAATACTGATTTCAAACCCTAAAAGGGACACTGAGGACCCCCGCCCTTTGATATTAGAGAGTCTTCCCCCCGGGCTTCAGGGAAGGCTTCTGATTTCAGTTTAGAGATGAAACATTGACTTGTGCCACAGCCATTATTTTAGGCGTCTCACATTTCTAATTAAAAGTTAATTAGTACTAAGAGAATTTCCTAAAAGCAGCTGCAAAAGTAATACAATAATAACCATGGACATTTTATTTAAACTTGTCTGTTATTTACAAACAATTTTTGTAATCATTGTCATGATGATAATGATGATGATGAAGGTACAACTTTATAACATTGAATTGAATAATCCTAATTCATATTAGTTTTTTAAAATGTTTTTCAAAATGGCAATTATTGGTTTTATTGAACAGAGCTTATTATAACAGAAGAACATTCTCCGAAAACAGGAGTCAAATAAGTCTGTTTAAAGATCAAGATAGGTAATTCAGTTATAAAAGTACATGCAATTAGTAAATTACTCTAGTCCTTTGTTTCGAGGCTAATGAGATAATGCACTCCACTTTTTGAATTGGATTAATACCTACAGTAATTATTAACATACCCAAAAAAGTACTTCCATTCTTAAAGGAATGAGCACTACTGCTTCTATCATAGAGTCACAACCAGCTTTAACTTTAACCCCCTTCACCCCCCCCCCCCCCCCCCCCCCCCCCTCCAACTCCTTTGTTGACTTGCAACAAACAAGTGTATTTCCATTGCATATACTTGATTTAAAAAAGCTCTTTTGGTGCATATTAAAAGATTTAAAATACAACTATGTCAAATGAATAATATTATTACATGTAAGTGCTATTATTAATCATCATCACTATCATCATCATCTGAATCTCTAGGTTTTTGTCTTATAGAGGATTCCATAACATCGTGGATTTTATTTTTCTTTCTTGGATCTTCTTCTAAATCAGTGACCACAGCACCAACCTCTGATAACATCCATTCAAGCTCTGAAAGTTGCAAAAGTATAAGACATTGAAGGGATATGGGATAATTATTGGAAAGTAATTACAGCACATTAAAAAAAGTCCATAGGTGGGGGGGACTCCCTTATTAAAAAGGGTGGGGGTCCTCGTCGGAAATTCTAAAAATGACCCCTAAAAGGGACCTGTGTTGTGAGATGATGGGCGTGGCAGTACTGAAATTTCACCCCTTAGAGTGACCAATCAATAAACGGTTATTTTGTTTTGGCTTCCTGATGTTATTTGTGTTTTTGCACAACCATCAAACGCCATAAGCTCGTATTAAGTTTATGACGACATTGTCATAAACAAATATATGATGACGACTTAGGGTTGTCGTTTATCCTAAAAGGGACCACAAAACTCAGTTGGAGGGAATTCTCGTCAATATCACCCTAAGCGGGACCAAAACACTGATTTCAAACCCTAAAAGGGACAACGAGGACCCAGCCCCTTTTTTATTAGCAATTCCCCCCCTCCCCCCGGGATAAAAGTATGGCCACTGATATATGCTGTACATGTAAACTTCTGCTCAGAAGGAGTTAACATGGTKTCAGAGTGGCTATTCCAGCTCCGTACAGTCAAGAAGTTTTTTGTCAACAAGTATTCAGCATTTTCTAAAATATCTGTATTCCCATAATTACATATGAAACTCACCATCCATTTTAAGGTTCATTCCACCAAAAGCAAAAGGTCCTATCCATTGTTTCTTCATRTCTCCATTACGATAAATGAATATTGTTGGCAGRTTTTTGTCTGGGTAATTTGGAATACACAACGTTGATATACTTTTTAAAAACTTAGTTGTTGGAAATTTCTGTGCTAGYTGTACTAAGAACTGGTTGATTAGTGCACATATTGGTAAACTGAGAAAATTAAGTTAAGGAAAACACCAGATATAGAAACAATAAATTGGTATTGTGTCGTTGTAAGGACAATAGGTTTGATGATTAGAAATTTGTGGCATTAATCTGTTGTTTACGATTTCTTGTGAGTCAGCATAGTGGTAACACTGCTGATGATGGGGGAGCTTTCAAATCAAAACTGTTAAACAAAACAAAGCAAATATTGATTCACCTCAGCTAGCCCAAATTGTGAAACTATTGAGTTTACATTCCAAGTGCCAGTTTGAAGAGATATATGATGATCACAACCTCCTAAATCATGGAGGCTTTGATCACATGATCTCCATCAACTTACAAAGTCATCACACCAATAACTACAACCTTGTAAACTGGGAGTCATGCATTAATGGCACTGAGGATGAGGTTGATGTTTAAATATATATCAAATATAATAAATAATTCTCAAAAGGATACCCTGTTTTATACAGATGAAGTACTACCCACACTCCATCGCCAGCTTTATTAACTTCATTGATATAGTCTTGCCCAGTGATTTCTCTTACGTCGCCATATTTGGATGCTTTGATATGAGCATTAAACTCAGCGAGTCTTTGTTGTCTAAAAAAGGAAATAATTTAATATCAATGATGACAATCTTAATGCAATTTGCAAAATATATTGCATTCAGAAATTCTGTCTGTCTGTCTGCCATGTATATATCCACTTCCTTATATTCCATTTGTTGTAAAAGTTTTTCTTTGTTTTTCTTTTACTCTATGTTTTAGCATTGCGGATGATTCATCCAATCTTTCATTGCCTTATGACCATATATAGTCATACACATGGGGCGGAGGGTTCTCGAATATGTGATCATCAAAAAATACAGAACAAGTGCAACTTAAACACAAGGTTTGAATAAAATGTTTAATGGGAATAATATGCTATTTTTGTACATCCTATTAAGATTATAAATCATGACCAAAGAATGACAACAAAAAATTGTTATGCTTTTTACAATAAGTTACCTACACACAGACAACGACCCTTCAATRCTTTCAATACCTGTACTGTTGAATGATTCTCTCGTCCTCTTCATCTTCCATCTCTTCTAGCTCTTCTAAAGTCATGTCTTCAATGGCTTTAGTTTCTTTAAAGCGGTCTTTTATYGTACTTTCAACCATGTTGACAATGTCATCCTCGGTGATTTCGGCTTCCTTCGGCTTCTCGGGTAAAATTCCATGTCTTCGTAGAGCGTCATTCCACTCTGTATCTTCGTTTGGATTCTGCATGTTATATTATTACTATTCTATCTGTTTCTCACGGGGCTTTGTTCTGAAATAATGATTATTTTAGRGCAGACTTTTCACGGAATTCACTCAAAGCTTTCGGTTAATATTTTCCTTGCCAGTCCCTCTCCGCTACCACAGGTAACCCAACTCACAGTCTGACATCTCACATTCTCACAAGTTTTTTATGAGTACATGTCAGGTTCTAATGAGTTTTATTTCAACGATTACTATTCTCCATCACACCTGAACTTTTGTAAAGGTTAACCACCTACAAGAAATGTTTTGAGCTATCAGTTTAAGTTCAAGTTTAGTTTAAGTTTACAAGTTTAATTCAATATATAATAATAATTTACACATGAGTAGTTAGGGGCATCCCAATTAGTTATCAGATGATAGTCTAGTCTTTTGGAAGTTTATTCTATTGAAATCAACTCATTATGACACCAATATAACAAATACAAAATTCATATTATAACTTCTACTAAAACCCSAAAAATGTGAAATCACCACTATGATTTCCATTCCAAGATGTTAAGGCATTTTWAAAATATTGCAGACACATGGATGAAAACATGTACACAATGGCAATGTTTGAAAGTAGTCACACTTCTAAGAAATTATCTCTTAGCTAGTACAGGGCTATTATTATTGATTTATTATAAACTGCCTTTTTTGTCATAGCAAGCTCTTTGCTAGTGCAGGGCTGCCTGGTAATGTATAAATGATACACCTGATGAATAAAACATCAGCATAATTTTTTGTATTTGTTTCAAATCTTATTAATCACCACAATATAGATTGTAAAATGTATCAACAATTTATTAAAACCCAATCAGTATTAGGTGTCTTATTTTGTTTTACTTATCAGTGTTTAGATGTGCCATGTACACGTACATTGTACAGTCATGTATGTACCATAAGCCACACACTAGCAAAGTCCCATGAATTTTTATGGACATTTAAATAACCTTATGTGACTTCTGACCACAGAGTGATAATGATAGTGATTGCTTAAATACAATAGCAAAGAGTATACGCTTCAGAGGAGGTCACTTTTATCTTAACAAGTGTTTTCATTGATCTGCCATATATAGTGCAATTTCCATTTTTCGTGTGTACCTTATATGGTAGCCTTTTGGTCTCCACTTCATTGTTCCATTTAAACAATGGAGTTCAATAAAAGGGTATTGTGTTGCAGTAGTTGCCAGTGGAAACTGGATGTTCTAAAAAACAAAGTCTATTACTATGAAGTTTTGAGAAACATCCAGCTTCCAAAGGCAACTAGAGTGCAAGTCACATAAGCATGAAACAATTCTTAACTATGTAGTGCTAAATAAGATTTAATTATCAACTAACTAAGAATTGAGAACAATGCTACAAAGGAATTTAAATAATTGGCATTGTGTTTATGCTTTGTTGAATTCTTAGTTAGTTAATAACTAAATCTTATTTTGCAATACATATTAAGAATTGTTTCATGCTTATGTGACGTGCACTCTATCACAGCATAACCCTCAAGATTTAAACAGCTCTATTGTTTTTATTATCAAAAACTAAAATATTTAATGAAACTGCAAGCTCTATTCTAGTGATAGTGCCTCTGCAGCAGGCACTATTGTTTCACATGGTCAATTCTTGACCAATGAGAGCAGAGAAAATTTTGTCCTTGAATTATAATACAGCATAGAGTAGTATATATATTGTGCATTGCAATGTTATCAATCACTGTGAAGTAATAAGTGGAACTGTGGTCTGCCTGGCAAAGGATAAATAGTAAGGTGCTTTACTTGTCAAAGACATTGTTAGRTCGTCCTTTGTTTCATTATTGAGATAGTTYGTCATGGTGTTGATGGGTGATTCAGTGCTCAGCTGAACAATAGTTGTTGCAGTGTCTTTCTTGGTCTTTGAYTTGAGTGCTAAACACCACACTGATGGCTGCTCATTGGAGATGATTGACTTAACAGCTGATATAGATGTTGAAGAATAAGCTGGAAGGGGCAGTGAAAACACAGGATGATCATGATGACTATGGCTTTCATAGTATATCAATGCTGACTGTGTAAGTAGCTGGAGGTTAGCATGACCAGTRTTTAGAATACACTTGGTTGTGATGACTAAATCCAGGACATTCTGCAACTTAGCCACTCTTTCAACTTTTTGGGACAATGGTATGTTACCATCCATGAAGTATTTCAGTTGATCTTGGGTGACTAGTTCCTCACATAGGAAATAATTAGTGTGATCACGCAGTAGTTTCTCACAACCTATTCCAACAAGACACTTTAAAGCAACTTCATAATCAAACATCTTTTCAACTTTCAGTTTCAATTGATGTCTCTGTTCATTTGTTTCACACTGTAAAAGCTGCCGAATGAACATTGCAAGATGSGTCTTGTTYGATGGATGGATCACAATCTGACAGGCACCACTCAGAAGTGCATTCATTGCAATTTTCAAACAAGCAGCMAGATCATCAAAATKCAGGGCATCTTTGAGAATCAACCACAARTTCTCTGTGAAATCAAGATCTTTCCTTGGTGCAAATTCTTGATTGGAAAGATGTTCTGCTGGAGATGATGAAGTGCTGACTCTTGACTGATCATCATTATCATGAATGACTTGGGAGAAGGCTTCAGAATCAATATTTTCTAAGACTTTCATTATCCTCAATTGTACCTCCTGCATTTCCTGTGATGCTGGGTCTGGCCATTGTTGATCTGAGTCAAGAATCATTGCATGGAAACACATTAGCTTATTCACCTCACTGGTTAAAGAGAAGTCTGTCAGCTGCATACTGCCAGGCAAACACTTGATGTGTAGAACACAGTCTGATGTGAGTGGAGGAGGTTGCACCAGACTATGTATATCCTTCCAGGCAAATTCAACACAAGCGCAACTCTTCTGGTCCTCTTCCTCGACAGCATGAGAAACCCCAAGTAGATCATACAAAGCATARCCATAACTACTATTTTCTACAACAGTGCCAAGACATTTCTGATTGTGAAGTCTTTGTATAGTATTGATGTTTGGCAGTGCTTCTGTCTTGGGGTATGGACCATTACATGTTATGACAACATGATTGACAATCCTGTCTGGCTGGACACCCACTGGTAGGCTCGCCATATGAGTGACAGTTCCAGTGTTATTCTCATCAACCACTACCCAAAATGGCACTTGGACGTTTGACATATTGCTAGTAAGGSAGTGGTCAAATAATGATATCAAATATCTTGCTTTATCAATTTGCACTGGATGTATGCCAAGAAAATTATCAAGACGCCATTCATCTATGCAGTTTTGACTTCTTGACGTCAAACGGTTTGTAGCTGAGGACTTGCTGCCTTGATGTAGCGGCGAAGAACCGTTGATGAARGCAACATCCTGCGACAGTGGTGTACCAACCAAAACACGTTCACTTTTTTGCCTTGAAAGTTCGACAACCGAAACTTGAAGCTCTTCGTCACCGTCCTCGTTTTCAACAGTATCCACTACAGCTTTTCCTAACAAGAAGAACCCTTTGTCAGAGCATTTAGTGATGTGACAGAGAGGGTGTTTAGTATTAGCCGGAATGAACGTTATTTGATAGGCATCCAGAAAGTTGTCATCTTGGCTGTGGTCTTCTGTGTGAATTGCTGGTTCAAATACAGCTGAAGAACAAATGTTCTCATCACAATCAATAGACAAAAGGTCTGTCAGGACTTCAGACAGTTTTCTCGAATTTTCGTTGAAATTTTCTGTCATTTTGGGAATATAAAGAAGCGGGTATAACACAAGACTCAAAATACCGATAAATCTCCCGCGCTTTGCACCAATGCATTGTGGGAGAAGTCAACCCTAGGATACCACAGGAAACCCAGATATTAAAAGAGCAAAGATCCCGGAGAAAGATATTGTCAAAAATTGTAAAACAATATCTCTCCATGTCTTCGCTGCTACATTGCAGAATTATTTTAGAAGACCCCAAGAGGCTCCAAGATCTTGTTCCACACGACGCTGTTTTTGTCAGATTTAATTTCCCGGTCAATCGGCAAAGAGCAACAATTCTTATTTCGGAACACTGTCATTTGTAACAGGAATCATTTCGGCCGAGTACGGAGCATCGCGCTACTCCCCAAAAAGAGGAACTGGAGTATTTCACCACGAATTGCGTACGGTTTTGAAATAAAAATCTCAGAAGAGGCACTTTTAAAATGATCATGAAAAAAAACATTCATTGCAAGTACAATATAGTTTGAGCTTTATTGATATTAATCTTTTAGTGTAAATTTAGACAAGCTATTTCTATTTTCTTGTACACTGAACTTGTAATATTTTCATCATTTTCATAAAACGTGCTCTTAATCCATCATTGCAAGCTAGAAAAAAGAACAGAAAATATTTGAATAATAAACAATGAGGTAAAAATGCCAACGGGAATAATCCATGGGTATCTGGGTATTGGCTTTTTTGCAAGAATCAGAACACCATTCTCAACAATTACATATCGCAATTCAAATTCAATGCTCTAGTAATATATGTTTCCAGTGCCTGTCATTACCTTTTACATAACTTCCAGGCATGTTCAATGGAATAATTCGCAGGCAGAGAAGTTGTTTTTCTCTTACCAAAAAAATCTGTTTGCAAACTAGTGTAAGGCAAACTGTGGAAACGATTACAGCGATATAACTTTGATGAATGCCCTGTTATGTCATAAACTTCCTCTTAGTGATGTGTTTGTTTTCTACAAGAAATGTGTGATTGAAACCTACCAGATCATCAACATCTTCCATTTCTTCTGCTGGAGCTTCTTCCACCTCTTCCTTTCCTTCAGTCTCTGCTAAAAACTATATGACAAGAAATTGTATATCACTGAGAACCGATACGAACGAATCTCGTGATTGGTTGAGAAAACAATGCAACACATTATCTTCTAAACGGAAACTGGAGATATACGAGTATGTAGACCGCATGGCACTAAGAAATACATCAACTAGAAATAATGTGAAGTTATAGTGCTTATAGAAGGAGTTTATTCCGGGAGAAAGACCCTTGGAAATAAATTCGGAAAAATCCGAATTTCAACATCGCCATATAATTGCATTTTAATTGCCGCGAACTGTAACATCTATTTCACCCTGGTCTGCTCACAGCCTGAATTTTTAGCTCGACTCAGTGGCGGATTTAGGGAAGGGGTCTGGGGTTGTCCTCCCCCCCCCCTCCCCCTGTTTGGGAAAAATTCTCGTACATGTTTTTTTTAACAAATAAACCTTCTAAAATGAAAAATAACAAGTGAATTAGTTAATTTCCTATTAATTCACTAATTTCAGTGGAAAAATTTCTATTTGATACGTTCTCCAAACTAATCCGTCATGCAAATTTCCCGCCAAAAGTTCGCGCCATTTTAGTGCCTCCCCCTCCCCCCCCCCAAAAAAAAATAAAATAAAATAAAAATAATCCAGAATCCGCCCCTGCGACTGGTTGTGGACCGGTAGTAAAAATCCGAAGATCGAGGGTTCGAATCCCAGCGAGATCGGAAATAAAATTTTCAGAATCTAAGTCTTTTTCGTCCGGAATAACTTCCTCTCCAAGCACTATAACTTTTCATTCATTCTAGTGTTCCATGAAACAAGAGCTACTTATTATGCCAACCTGACCAATCAGATTGCAGTAAATCCAAACGGTGATAGAACTGTCACATTAACATCCAATCAGATTATAGATTAGAGCACGTGATTGGCTTATTCAAAACCCTTAAACTATTAACTCGACGCTGCAATATGATTGGTCAATGATACTAATTTGTCAATGTGGTTTCAGTAACTGAACTGTAAGTACTGAGAAAATTAAGCAATTGATTAGAAACTTGACAATGAAATAACAACCAGTTCAGTTAACTCTCGCTATAAGAGTTACCCTTAGTTACTCTCTTTGTATTTTTCGTCAGGGATTCAGCATTTCCTGTCCGYAATATGAGGTGCTCGTAATAGCGGGRTGTCCGTAAGTCAAGAGTTAACTGTWACRGCTTAATTGWAATCAGGACACTACTGATAAAATCGAGAAAAATTACCTTGACTGCGTCTTCTTTTGTTACTGAAATGTCCGAGGATTCATCTTTACTTATAAGGGATATTTTTTCTGTTGGTTTTATAACAGTTTATATAGATTATCAAGCTTTCCATTGTATTAATTGTATGGATTGTATTAATGCATGAATTTCTAGTAAGAGAGAATTAGTGAGAGTCAGCCCTCCACCAGTTTTACCTTTTACTAAAAGAAGCCAAAATCCATGTCCTCTTTTGTTATAGAATTTAGATTTTACATCGTGAAGAAAATCATTAAACATTTGTGACTCCTCTGCCTAAAAATATGAAATATATCAGCAATTACAGTAGAGTAGTTTTCTGTCTTCTCGGAGCCGTTTCGTTTTGATTCAAATCAAAAACCATAGATTGAAATGACATCATATTGGTAAAATGGCGTCAAAGTGAA